GCAGCCCTGCTCCATGCAGATGCTTTGTGCATGTCCCTGCACAGGAGGGAGCAGCTCTGCAGGCGTTGCCAAGTGCCCTCCTCCGGAGCACTAAAACCTTGAGAAATGGGGGAAAAAAAGGAAAAAGCCCCATTCCCACATGGCCTGAATGTTAATGCCTTCCTTTTTGAAGGAGGTTGTTGCAGGAGGAAAATGGGATGTATCTCTCGGACCCAAATGGGAGCAGCTGCCCCGCTACCTGCAGCGCCGGAGAGGGGAAATTTGTGCTTATAGGGACAAAAAATTGCTTGGGTTGCACTTTCTCCGCAGCTAATCCAATTTGTCTCCTTACTGCTTTCAAATGCCTCTTAAAGATTCCTCGCGATGTATTACAGAAACCCATTTGCTGAGATGCAGAGAAGAGGGGGCACTTTTATTTTACAGTTATTAGCGGGTGACAAGGTAAGTAACTCGGAGGAGATTGATCGCCCAACGAAGCATTTTTACTTTCTCAATTAATCCCAGCATGATCGTCATAAATCCAGGAGGGGGAGTAATGGGATGTGAGCGGACCTCAATCCCTTCTCACTGCGTGTTGGGGGTAATGGATAGAGACATCTTCCCTGGGGAGGGGTCGAGGGAAGCGGCCAGCGAGATGGGTTTCTGGAGAGGAAGATAGATGTTGGGGCCAGCGTTGGCTTTTTCCTCAATGGAGAACAGATTTATGCCATCAATCCACATTAAGAAGCCTTCATGGCCGCATAGAAACCCAGTGAGGGTAATTCAATTAGCCTCGCGCTCTTCTTTAAAGATGGGATTTGATAATGGAGGACTGCTTGGCCTGAAGTTCACACTGAGTCTTCTCTCTGTTTCCTTTAAAATCTCTTTTAATTAAGACTCGCTGTGGTTCATAGGATGCCTCCTTCCCATGCCAAGGGCTTGTCCCAAACCACACCAGAGGTTCCCAGCCAACAGATCCCAGCGAGGTGACACCTCCACGTGCTCAGCCCATCACCAGGAGATGCTGTGGATGCTCCATTCCTGGAGGTGTTAAGACCAGGCTGGATGGGACAATCTGGGCAATCTGGTCTACTACTACCAGACCTGGAGGTTGGTGGCCCTGCCTGTGGTAGAGGGGTTGGATCTTGATGATCCCTGGGATCCCTTCCATCCAACCCAAGCCATGCTGTGATTCTATGAGAGTAAAGCTCTGGGAGGACACGATGGGGTGGGCACTGTGCACATTGATGTTGGCTTCTGCCCAACCCGCAGCCATACTGCAATGCTTGTGATGGGCAATGGGTTGGGTTTTACCTCCCAAAGTCTCCCAAAGTCAGGTGTGCAGGTAATGTGTGAAGCCGTGCATGAAGTCAGCACATCTCAGCATGCTTTTCCTCTCCCAAGGTCGATGTTTTGAGGTTGTGTTGTTGAGGAAAGCTTGGATCTCAGATCATGGAACCGTGGTATCATGAAGGCTGGAAAGACCACTAAGACCCCCAAGCCCAACACCAGCCCATCCCAGCACGTCCCTCAGTGCCACATCCACCCAGCTGCTCCTAAACCTCGGGTGCTACAAAGCTGACAAACCCAAAGGACAGTTATAGAACAGCCAACATCTTGACACGGGGAGAAGAATAATTTTTAGTTCCCCTCTTGAATTTCACCTAGATCCCAGTTTTCTCCCTCCCTTTCCCCCATAAGGAAGGGGAAGGACTGTCCAGTTTGCTGCCATAGCACCATGCTCGTGTCCCCTTCTGCCACATGGGGACATAAACCCCAATGATGGTCAGCACCCAACACTCCCCTGGCCATAGGGACCCCCACCCCATCGAGACCTCATTAATAGATTTCCTTATTTGAAAATCATTATCCAGGCAGACAGCCTCATAGATAGAGGATCCCAGGGGTGACTTGTTAGCAGCTGCTCCGTAGCTACATCAAGAGGTTTTCTGACAGAACACAAAAGCCATTTGACAATGTCAGAAACCACCGAAAGGGATTAACTTGAAAGAGAAAAGTGGTGATGGAGGGGGGATAAAAACACATTAAAACACGTCTTAAAGCTTATCAGAGATGGGGAGCTTCGGAGCACAGAGGCAAACGAATGGCAGAGAAAGCAGGGGACAACAAATGGGATGGGGAGAGTGGCTGGCTGTGATTGAGGTCGGGGTTCTGCTTGGCTGGGTGCTCACGCAGCCCTTTTATTTGCTTTGAGGGCTTGGCTTTGAGGGCTTCCTGGTAGGGTTTCCTGTGCTACGCTATGGGAGCTGAAAGGGGCAGGGAGAGGTGAGCAGCCCTGTGATTTTGGGTTACTGCCCCAGAGGTGCTGCTCCCATGGCAGCACCAAAGCAAGCAGCTGGGAAATGAAAGTCTGACAGTGGGGCAATAAGAGGGAAGTGCTTCAGGGTCAAGCAGCAGCAAGATGCTGGTGTGGAAGTGCTGAGCACAGCGGGAGTGGCTGCACAGTCATCACACAGAGGCAATAACTCGCAATAAATGAGAGACCTTGGCTGGGTTACTCAGCCCGGCCAGAAAGGAGTAAGTTTGCCAATGTTAAAATGGGAAAGAGAGAAAAAAAAGAAAAAAAAAAAAGTCTTCAAAGGATCTGCAGAATGACAGCCTTGTTTCAGAGGTAGCAGCTGGAGGGAGGAGGTGAGGAGGGCAGCGATGTGTTGGGCACTGAGATGGGTGAGACACAATGTGGGCATCACCAAAGCGTGCCCAGGGCTGGAAGCTGAGCAGGTGACGGGCTGCTGTCATCCAGCCCAGCAATGGGCTCCTAGCAGTGAGGATCTGTGCATTGCTGGCCTGTCACCACTGCTCTGTAAGCATCACAGTGCATTGCTTTGCTTCGCTTCTTTCTCCTCTCCTTGCAAATTCAGGCCCCTCCTGCAAGAAAATCTTGGAGACGCAAAGCAAACACACCCGGAGGTGTCGGGCAGCACACACAGCATCCATCCCTTCCTGTTCTCCCACCCATTCAGAAGCTGAATGCCACACTTTGCTTGATTCACTGAAGGTTTTGCAAGCCCCAGGTTTACAATAGCTGTCTTGTAAAGTGTCTGAACCAAGCTGGTGATTTACACACTTTTGTCAGCGACGCAGTTTATTTATTTTGTGCGTTGATTTGGCAAATATTTTGTTTCAGTTTTCCCACAGTCGCTCAGCCAATGGCTCCAGCAGAGCAAGGAGCAGAAAAGCTCAGTGCTCTCCTTTGGAAAGCCAACTCCTTTCTACTCATGGCCTGCACTAAAGCTCCATCAGTCTCTCTACCCAAAGCCTACAAGTTTGAAGTGTTTTGCTTGAAGGAGAGGGGCAAACCCACCCCAAAAGCTTGCAAATCCATTTTTCTCTTTGGAAGCAGATGGTGGGGTGGGGCTGGGAGGGAGGGAGCAAACAGAAAAGAATCCGAACACAGCATCCGTAATGCTTCCCCTCTCCCCTTTGTGAGGTTAGGGAGGAGAACATCACCGCTGCTTTCTCCCACCTCAAGCTGAGGTCGTTGCTTTGCGATTTAGAGGAACGCAATGCCAATCGTTAATTGGAATAATGAAAACAATCTGCTGGGTGCTGAAATGTATTTAGCTGGGGGGTAATAGGAGCAGAATGTCACGGAGTCCTTTATGCTGTGCAGAGGTTGGGATCCCAGGGCCACATGGGGGGTGCAGGGTGAGTTCTTCCCACCATGCTGAGCATCCTTCCCCAAAACCAGCTCTGTTATGGGCCGCTTCCTTCAGACAATGGCATCCCCAAAGTCATTATAAGGTGCTATCAAGGGGAGGCTTTTCTTGGGTGTTGAGGTGTTGGTTTATGGGACGGAAGCTGAGGTTTGGGAGCAGAAGAAGAGCTGGAGGGGTTTAGCAGAAGCTAAAAAGTTGGGGCTGAAGGCAGGGTTGAGGTGCACGGTTTGAGACATAGCCATCAGACCCTGTAAAACCACAGCGGTTGTGCCGCACTCAGACAGATTTATGGGACCTCTGGTATTTTGGTAGGCTCGGATGGCGCTCTGAATGCTCAATGTGATTCATTTGTTCCTATCTTCAGCGAATTTGTGCTCATGGTCCAGAGGAGATAAAGGATTGGCACACACACAGACTGCAGGGCTGAGGGAGCAGCACGAGGAGCACTCAGGGGATGCAGAGGAGGGATGTTCGCTTGCACAGCCCTATGGTGTGGGATGCAAACCCTGCACCATGGTTAAACTTCACCTGCAGGGCTCATGGACACCGCTTGTTTAGGTCCAGCAAGGAAAACAGGCGTGTAAAATGCCCCAGGGGACGGCTAATTTATGGAGGGGGGAAACAATATCCCTCCCTCGGTGCCACTTAACTTTTCATTTTATATTTGCGGTAATTGCAGGCGACATCTGGGAAGGTTGCCCCGCCGTCCCCGGGGGAGGGCAGGGCAGAGGGTCACAGTGCTGCTGGGGGCAAAGCACGGCGCGGTGCCCCCCCCCCCCAGCCGGACAGCGCTGCCTGCTATTGTGGGGGCTGGGTGGGAATGGGGAGGGGGGGCGGGAGGAGAGGAGGGGGGTTGGCTCTGCCAACCTCAGTTTCCTCGGATGGGAAAAAAAGGAAATGTCACCAGAATGGGATCGCAGGGCGGCCGCACCCGCTGTGGGGTTCGGTCCCGTGGGGAGAGCCTGGCGGAGCGGGCAGCTTCTATGGGCTGCTCCCAGCACCCTTCTAGGACAGATCGGGTTCCGTGCACCTTTCCCAGTCCCCCCCCCCCCCTCCCATCGCTCCGTGCTGGGCCGGTTAGCCATTAACCTGCCGTGAGCCCCCGGGCCGGGGGAGGGCGTACGCGCAGCTCCCGGCCCCGCAGCGGCAGCTCCCCCCGCTCCGCTCCCCTACCCCCCTCTGCTTCCCTTATCAGCAATTCAGATTGCATGCAAATCTCCGGGCTTTCTTACAGGGGCAAGGCAGGGGACACAGCATTTCTCCCCGATCGCTGCTTCGGAGGGGGGGGGGGAGAGAGAGAGAGAGAGAGAGATATCTCCTCCTTCTTCTCCACCTCCTCCTCCTCCTCCTCTCGGGATTTTCCTCCCCGCCTCCCTCTCTCTCTCTCTCTCTCTTTCTTTCCTCCTTTTCACCTCCTGGAACAAAAGTAGCCCTTCTCTCCGCGCTCGGCCCGACCCGCTTTGTGCAGCGGGGACTCGGGGGGCTGCGGACGATGGGGGGGTCGGGGGCTGCCGCAATCCTGGCTTTGGGTTTGGCGCTGGGATTGGCGCTGGGAGGGTGGGCGAATTGCCCCGAACGGGAGCTGCAACGCCGGGAGGAGGAGGCCAACGTGGTGCTTACCGGAACGGTGGAGGAAATCATGAACGTGGACCCCGTGCACCACACCTACTCGTGCAAGGTGAGGGGTTTGGAGGGCGGGGGGTTGTGTGGTGGAGGGGGTTTGTCCGTCGTCCTCTCCCCCCACCCCCAAAACCTTCCGATGAAGCTCGGGGGAAACTTTGGGCTCGTTCGCGTGCGGGAGCATGTGGTTTTTATTGTCTAAATGAGAGCTTTGGGGTGTAATTAGGTATTTTTAGACTGCGGGAGGCTCGCCCCGGCGCGGCCCCGCCAGCTGTTTCGAGGGGAATCACTCAGGGTTGCTTTTTATGGGCATTTCCCTCTGTTCAGCGATGCGGAGCCCATTCCCAGCTTCGTGCTGCGGGAAGGTGCCGGCGTTGGGAACTCGGCTCCCCAGCTGCTGCAGCAGCATCCCGAGTTCCTCCGGCTCCAGCTATTGTTTAACCACGGCTCTGGCCTCTGGCTATGGTTTTTCCACCCCCCCCCCCCCCCAAGCTGAGAGTCGGTGAAGTACTGAACAACCTGAAATACCATCCGCCTGCCTGTCAGAAAACGTGCTGCGTGGTTTAACCCTTCCCGGGGCAGGACTTGCCGCTGTGCTGCGTGGTTTTGCTCTCACCTCCCGGTTCCTTTTTGCCATCCTAAAATGTGCTGCGGTTCCACCCCGCAACCAACCCTATGGGGAGCTTTGGGGCGATGCCCAGCTGCTGAAAGAGCTCCGGGCTGGGTTAACTTCAAAACACGGAATTAGCCTTTATTCTGGAGGACCTCTCGGCTTTAGAAACTAGTTGAAAAGCTTCTCTCTGTCCAGCTGGTGCCTGCTGCTGCTCGCTGCTTTGCTTGCACGGCTCTGCCCCTTGCCACGCTGCTGCAGGGGACAATCTGTATTCCTGTAAATTAGCTCACAACCTCCCCCCCCCCCCCCCCCCCCAGACCGTATGTTTGCAAAGTGTCTGGCACATCCTGGGTGCTACGTGGAAAATGAATAAGCTGCTGCGAGCAGCTTGGGGCACATATGGCCGGGTGGCTGCAGCCACCTGATGCTGGGCTGCCATGCATGGAGGCAGGAGGTGCTCAGCTGAGAGGTCGTTCTCCTCCTTCTGCTCTGGGTCCATAGCAAGGTGTCTGTCTGGCGTGAAATCCGGGCTTGGTCTAGGTGTAGGGAAACTGTTCTGTCTGTGCTCTTGCTCTGCTTTATGGGAGAAAAACAGAGGGCAGGTGGGGGCTGCATGGGGAAACCCAGCGCTCAGCATGGGGAGAGGTTGTGCCCATCTTCCTACGGGATGCTGCTGAGCTCTGTGCTATTAATCCAAGGTTAAGCATAGGGTTTTGTTGGGGTCACAGCAGTGCCCGAAGGCTGGAGCTCAGCCCAAGATGCCTTTCCTGAAAAAGAAACTGAAAGGAGAAAAGCCTTCTGCCATCTGTGAGGGTGCCCATCCCATCGCGGTGGCAGCGCTCTCCCGGTCGCGCTGTGACGTTGGTGATTTCCTTAAAGCAGTGGTTCCTTACTTAGCGACAGCGTTGCTCATCCCCGGGTCGTGTTTTAACGGTGTGCTCACAAAGCTTTGCCCTACAAATGCTCTGAAATGGGATTCGGGGTGGCACGAGGACCTGGCAAATGGATAAATGGCCATCTCTCCAAGCGGTGTGACTGGCTGTCACGCTGCTAACTGCTCTTCAGACCCTGAGATTGCCTCCAAATACCGCAGCTATCTGCTGTCAGGTTCTCCTTTATCTGCACGGGAAACACAAGGGCCAGGCGTGCACTGGGATCCCACTGGGGCTGGGTGGTCTGTGAGCAGCAGGCACAGCCCCGTGAGGCTGCATTAGTGCCTTGTTCTTCCTAGTTAAACTCTAAACCCTCCCAGCTGAAGCCTTTGATATACAAAGATAAGCACATTACAACTCGGAGGAGAAATGTGAGGCTAATGTTAGATAAACACCCCAAAATAGCTACCAGCCATTCAGTTGCTAGCAGAGGAGATTAATAATTAGGAGTTCTGTTAGTCTCCTCTTCCTCCAGCTGAAGCTCGCTAATGTGCCCCTTCACCCAGGGATGGGCTTGGCATGGCAGCAGAGCTTTGCTCCTAGCTGCAGCCACTCACTTCCAGCCCTTACTATGATGTCTGTGAAGTTTGCTCCCATTTATGGGGTGAGCACGGGTTCTCCACCTGCTATAACTGGAAGTGCTGGGGAGGATGTGGATCCTGTTTGGAACAATGGAGCTTGTAGTTTGGGGGAGGATGGGGGGATGTGGATGGGGGTTGGCAGCCTCAGAGCTCTGTTAGCTCCTGCAGAAAGCTGCTCCAGTCCCATAGTGACCCTTCTGCTTTCCACCCAGGAGTGAAAGCTCTCTTCTAAGGGTCCTTCTCACCTTCCCAGCTTCCCTAGGAGCCCTTAGCTGGCATTTCTCACATTGCACTCGCCTGTGCAGGCGGTCCCATGCCCTGCTGGGGGATGGACCCCATGGCAAATTGGAAAATTCTTTGACTCCCTGGTTCTGTACCACGCTCAAAACACACTTGTGCAAAAATCTGCCTGAATAAAGTCTTCGCTGTTCTCACTCCACCTCCCTGCAGCTGCCAGGAGTCTCATAAAACAGCCTTAATCCACTGTTTTATGTGCTCTTTGGTGAAAGAGTGAGCAGCCTGCCACAGGGAAGGGACCTTCTGGAACCCGGCTCCAGCCTCCTCTCTTCTCTCTCCCTTTTCTTCCCCCATCCTTGATGTAGCCAGTGAGTCACCGGCATAACAAGGTCTTAATTGCGTGTGATGATGAATGGGATGCCCTACAGGTAATCGCTCGGGCTTTGGTGCCTTCGCATCCATTCATTACAGAGGATGAGGGTGCGGAGGGAGCTGGTGGACTCTGATGTTACTTGCGAATGCTGCAGCCTGGCTCTGCGAGCTCTGACTACAACAACCTCGCTAATTAACTCCAATTACCATCTGCTTCACAAGAGGGGCTCGGCTTCAGCCCTTCTTCCCCATAGACCTAGCTGTGAAAGCTCCCGGCTGCACGCAGGAGCCTCGGGGCGCGGGCTCTCCGCCTGCCTCTCTTTTCTTTTCCTCCTTTCTTTCCCTTTTTGTTTCCTTCGTGTTCTTGGGTTTTCACCCCGGCTGCTTCTTTCTGCACCTCACCTTGTTGCAGCCTGAGCGTGCCCTGCGGCTGCTGCGGAGGAAGAGGAGGTGGGGCTGGGAGGAAGGTGTCTTGACTTGACTGTGGGGCGAAGAGCAACCACGGGGAGCCGAGCTGCTGCGGGCAGGCAGGAGGGGAGAAGGTGGCTTGCAAGCCTGCAGGAAAGCTGTGCTCCCAGCTGCATCACCCGGGGTGCCATCGTTGCAATTGTCCCTGCATGGGCTCTTTGGAGGTGTGTGCAAAGCAGCCCATTCTGCTCCTTGCCTTCTTTCTACGGTTGCTCTCTTCAAGTGCATACCTGCATGTCTCCTCTGAAGAGAGGCTGGAGAGTCTCTTTAGCACTCAGCACCTCCCCTGCCCCGTGTCTGGCATGCCGTGCTGGGCTGAAGTGCTCTCTGGGCAGCTGGGGAATGCGGGGCCCAGAGATGCATGGAGGTGAGGTGGTGGCTGTTGGAGCACCTGAGGCTTTCCTATCCATTGGGAATGAATGGGGACACATCTCTTGCTTGTTAGATTAACCTCTTCCTGCTCAAAACTGCAGGTTTCTGCTCCTGCAAGGGAAACACTCGGGCATCCTTTATGCTAGTCCCTAAGGTTGAAGGCTTTGGCCTCAAGATGCACCAGGGGAGGTTCAGGTTGGATATTAAGAAGTCTTTCTTCTCAGAAAGAGTGGTCAGGCATTGGCACAGGCTGTTTGGGGGTGAGGGGGAGTTACTGTCCCTGGAGGTGTCCAAGAGATGTGGAGATGTGGCACTGAAGGGATGTGGTCAGTGGGCACAGTGGGGTGGGTTGGACTGTTTGATCTTAGTGGTCTTTTCCAATCTTAATGGTTATCTGTGATGACCCTCAAGAGTTTGCTGGGAAGCAGCAGCTTATCTGGAGCCCTGATAAGGGAGGGGTATTGATACAGCCAGCCCTAAGGGAAGGGAAGGGGCCAGCCCATGGTACCCTTTGTGCTGGGGTCCTCAGGTGTGTTTGCACTGAGGGTGGGGAAGGTGGAAGGGAACTGGAGAACCCATGAGGGAGCCCTTGGGTTGTGGAAAAGGTGATGCATTGGGAAGCTGGGTGTGATTTGGGCAGAAATAAGATGTGCTTTAGCCTTATCCATGTGTTGATGACATTGGCTCTGCTGGAAGATTCAGCTAGCTTGAGTTGCCCCTGAGCATCCCATGGTGGCGTGGTTAAAAACCAACCCAGAAGGTGCCAGGGCAAGATGTCAAATGCTTTTTCTCCCTCTTCTTCAAGGTGAGAGTGTGGCGTTACCTGAAAGGCAAAGACATCGTCACCCACGAGATCCTCCTGGATGGTGGGAACAAAGTGGTCATCGGTGGCTTCGGGGACCCCTTAATCTGTGACAACCAAGTGTCAACCGGGGACACACGGATTTTCTTTGTCAACCCTGCCCCACAGTACATGTGGCCAGCCCACCGCAACGAGCTGATGCTCAACTCCAGCCTGATGCGGATCACGCTGCGCAACCTGGAGGAGGTGGAGCACTGCGTGGAAGGTGAGGCTCTGCTGCAACCCTCAAACGATGGGTCACCATGCTGCTGGTGGTGGCCACGTGGATTGGCTGTTCTTGTTCTTGTTGAATCGTGGAATCGTTGGGTTGGAAGGGACCTTTAAAGGTGATTGGGTTCAGCTCGTTGCCTTTGGGGTGGTGCGTGGTGTTGGCTGTGTTGCCAGAAGTGGTGCGGCCAAACAAGGTTGATTCACGTTGCTTTTGCTCCAGATTGAACGTAGGTTCTTGGTGCCCTTTGCAAAGGGATGTGAGGAGCCAGCTGAGTTCTCCTGGGGCTGAAGCAAGGTCTCCTTGCTGCTCCATGATGAAGCCAAGTCACGGCCAAGCTGAGCAATCTGGGGCATGAGTTGTGCGTTGGTATCGTTGTGGTGTGGAGTAAGGCTTCCACGGAGAGGGCATGCCCAACAACATGAAAGCACTTCTGCAACATCCCATCTGCTGGCTTCTCGCTTCCTCCCCTTGTGCTCATCCTGTTCCAGCAATGAGCTCTGGGCTTGGGGGGAGCACAGTGCCCCAAAAGCCCTTTGGGGTCCGAGCACGTCCTGCGAGCAGATGAGTAAACAAGGGAAGGAATGCAGGAATTCTGCACGGACAACAAATAAACACAGGCGGTCTCCCTCCTCCTCTCGGGATGTGCAGAGCAGAGGCCATAACCCCTTCCTCCAGCTGTGAATGCACACAGAGGTGAACGACCGAACTGGGGCTGGGAAAGAGCTGTTTCAGCAGAAGGGCTCCAAGAGGTACTGTCTCAAGTGGCTTTTGCAAGAGGTTGATATGCTGGAGGCTTTCTAGCTAGAGATGTGTTTAGTATTGCACTTGAAAGGCATCAGCTCTAGTGGAGGGGGTGGGAGGAGAAAGAAGAGCGTGTGTGTGGTGTGTTGTGTTTTGTTGGTTTTTTTTCTGTTAAACCTGAGCAAACTTTTGGAAGAATTTTGCCCTCACCTAGCAGTCTGTGTTCTTTGGCACGCTCTCTTTGCACACACCGCATGCACGCCGTGCTGGGCTGGCTGAGCTCGGTGCTTCCCATTTCTGCTGAAGGATGTTGTCCCTTCAGGCCCCTGGGAGATGAATGATCTGATTTCTCTTCTTAATATTCGACGCCAAATTTATCTGGGACCCGTGCCTGCTTCCTCCTTCCGTGGGGGAAGGCTCTGAGTTGCTGCGCATTGACGTGGTGCTGGTTGCATCCCCATCATGGAGACGCATCCCTCAGCCCTTCTTATAGGATGTGGGGCTGCCCGTTCCCTGCAGCCATGCAGGTGTCCCCGATTGATGTGTCTGTCTATAGCACGTCCTCTGATGCAACACCCCAGGGAGAATTTGCTCCATGACCTGTTGTGCAAGCGGGCTGAAGGTGCCAGAGCTGGGCTTGTTTGAACTTTCTCCTTGCTGTGGGCTGAAATGACCGGTCTATGGCGTGAGAGGTGGGTTTGTCCTTCTTCCCTGTGATGCTGACAAACTGTCCTGATGAGAGGCCAAAATTCCTCCTGGGAATCCCCTCCTCTCTGAAGATGGCCCGACGTTTCGCTTCCTTTAATTAAGGATGATGGCTCAGTGGGATGCTGTGGTAAGGGAATGGCTGAGGGCTGAACCACAGCCTGTGGGCATCTCACCATGCATGTCGAGCCCAGCATGGTGGAGATCTGCTCGAAATGCTGGTGGGAAGGGGCAATCCCAAGGCAACCTGGAGCTATTGATGGCTCAGGTTGGTCAAGGTGGGTCGCATGAGAGGAGATGCAGCAACTTTTGTGTTTCAGTGCTTCGGTGAAGCCACTGTTCTGGTCATACCCATTCTCCAAGTCTTGGTCATTGCATGGGTGCCAGCAGCTTGGCTGTAGACAGCCTAGGACAGATCAACCCTTGCAAAAAAATTGGTTTTCTGCAAGCTGTACACAAACCTATGACATCTCTTGGTCTCTGAAAGTTCTTGACTACTATAGGTGCAAAACCAGCCATGAGAACCTGTTCCCATCACCCTGGGGACCATCTCAGAGCTCTCAAGCTGAGGATTTAGCTCCAGGACTTGTTTCCCATCAGCTCCCCCACAGGAGGGTTCAAAGCAACGCTGCTCTGAGTCAAAAAAACAAACCTTGGAGTGCTTTTGCAGAAAGAATTGGAGGAATGGCGGCAGCTGAACGGAAAAACACGAATGTTTTGAGAATCTTCATCTCCTGTTGCTTCAGCCTGGAAAAATCCTTGAGATCAAAATCTTTCTTAAAGCCTAAAAACGGGGAGTTCAAACCGGGGCACCTTTGGGTTGCAGCTCAGGTTGAAGTTAAGGCAGTGCCGTATCGTGTGTTGCTTTGATCGCAGCTCAGCGTTGAGAAAATGAAGATTTGTGTGCACGGTGAGGGAGGGGTGGTGCTGACTCCACGCTGAGCTGTCTGGGTGGAAGGAAGTGCAGATTAAAGCCGTGTTAGGGCCCTGGTTAATGAGAACCCAGGGCTGCTTTTAAATAGCGCCTTGCTCGCGGCACGGTTTGCATGAACCCGGGTGCAATTGCCCCAGTGAGGATTGTTTTGTTTGGAGCGCTGGGTGGACCTTGAACCTCCTGGGAAAAGCCATGTGTGACGCAGTGTGGGATGGAAGCTGATAGCCTTGGGTACGGGGAGCCCACGTGGCTGCAGGACAATGTCCCATCCGTGGCATGGAGCCCTTGTTCCAGGCAGCACGTGGGTGAGAAACTCCTTGCATTGTGCCTCAGATGTGAGAAAGGGGGCACAAAGTGGAGTTTTGTTGAGCGTTGTGGTTGGGGTGGATCCATCCCGCGTGGTGAGGCAGCCCATTGGTGATGCTGGGCCTCCTGATGGGGGATATCCCAGCACTGGTGACTCTCAGCATATCTCACATCACACCTTGGTGTCCCCAGTGCTGCTGTGTGGTATCTATGGGTGCATCCCTTTGTTTCCCCCCCATGCAGATGCTTGTAATCACACTAGCTGTTCTGGCACGTGTTCAAGATGCAGTGTGCTGCAGATGCTCCGTATGTTTAAAAATGTCACTTAGCTCTTATTAAAATTCTTATTATAGCCAGTCCAGAACTCTCCCGACTTTTCATCTCTGTGGCAACCCCATTAATTACTCCCATTGAAGAATTGCATCCAGCCTCAGTTCTCCCATCTTTTCACCCTGGGATAACTCGTTTTTGCTTTCCTTCCCCTCTTTTTTTTCTATGTACGTTTTCCCCCATGTGCTTTATGGGGTGGAATCCCACCATGGTCTGGAGGGACCCTCAGCCTGCATGGAATTCTCCTCTCTTCCAGCCTTCTTCTCTCCACAGCAAATCCCACAGTTGCTACACTTCTCCTCCACTTTATTCTGTGCTCAGAAGTTTCTGCTGGGCTTGTGAGCGGGGCTGCTTTGAAAACCCCTCTCAAAGTGACATTGCCCACTCCGTTTCATCATCCTCCTGCTCACTCCTATTCTGCCCTCCCTTTCTTTTTTAGCTCTGTGCAGAACTGAGACGTTTTGTTCTTGTAAAGCAGCCCATGCAAAATTCCCTTTTCAGGATCCTTCCAGGGGCTGTAAGCAGTGCACAGTGGGGAACTGCTGGCACAGCTCTGCGTTAGGTGATGCGGGCTGTGGTCGCTTCCCATGCTCTGGTCTCATTGCAGCCTTTCCCCACCCTGTGCCTTTTTCTTTTCAATCCATCCCTGGCACTGTTTGTGCAAGGAGGGAGCTGGGAAGCTCGGTGTGTGGGTTTGTGCTCTTTTCTTTTCCTTTTTTTTTTTTTTTTCTCCTCTCTTCTTGGCTCTGTTTTGAATTCAAGATAACGAGAACAGCATCAACACCTCCATCTCAGGGCAAGGAAGTTCTCCAGCAGCTGTAAGAGTGCAGGAAACAGAGATGGGAGAACACGGTGCTGCAAAACAGTGGGGCCCCTCCTGTCCCCTCTCAAAGGGTCAGCAGGACGGGCTGAGTCCTGGTGATGGGAACACATAGAGCACGATGCTGTCCCCATGCCTAAGAACAGGGCACTGCGTGGTAGTAAGGCGAAACATCCCTTGGGTTTATGGCAGTAGATGAGGGAGTCGATTTGTTTAGCAAATTCCTATGGAATTTTAATCTGGTGTGGGAGGCTACTGCTCTGGGAAGGCTCTGGCCCTGCTCTGAGCACGTCCTGCTGCATTGCTCTGCGGGTGTCTGGGCAGCAGCATCTTCCTTCTGCACTTTGGGCCCTGGCTGTGTGCTCCTGGTGCTGTGCCGTCTTTCGGAGTGGTTTGCTGCTCCCTACAGCTGGAAGCAATCCCTTTGGGTCCATGCAAACCATCCCTTCCTGCACTTCCAGCCCCCTGGTATCGCTTTCTTTGATTGGCAAAAGAAACGGGGCCAGAGTGCTTTCGATAATTTATACCTAATTCAGCTAATTTCAGTCTGGCTGCAGCACAGCCTACAAAAGCAACTCTTTTAATTTGCTCCTAATTCTTACTCCCTATGTATTCTGCAGCTGCCCATCTCCTGCTCACCCACCTTGCAGACCATGGCAAGCCTTACCAACACAGTGGGGTGGGCACAGCCTGGACCCATTTTCTCTTCCCACCTCTTCTATGCTTCAATTCTACTTTTTTCTCCCCATTTTTCTCCCTGAATGTGGAGGTTGGGAATGAGCTCCACTCCCCAGAGAATGCGATGCTGTCCTGATGGGCTCTGAGTTTGCTTTCTCTCTGATGTTGGAGTGCTGCTCTCTGGTTTGCAGGGATGTCAATTAGCTGAAGTGAGTGGGGGGCTGGCTGTGCCACAGCCTCGTTGATTTGTGGGTGATAACCAATTAACCAATTAAAGCAAGGGGAACAGAGATGCTGAGGAGCTGATCTCTCTCGGTCAGAGCGTGGCTAGAGCGACTTCACACCTCCTAGCATCAATCCTGCAGTGCAGCTCATCCCTTCTGGTGCTCAGGTGCAGTACCAATGGGCCAAGCTGTCCTGCAGCACCCCAGTACCCCCAGCACTCTGCATCCCCAGCCTGCAGAGCAGCATCCCTAGGGG